TTATGGATGGTGCATGGCCCTCCGTCCGAGACTGTCATACGCAACCATCGTAAGAAGGTCCGGAAATGGGATAACAGTTGGTGTCCCGTGGAGGAGATGGATGCGGCACAGCTAGACATGGTAGAAGGTGAACGGGGTGTTCCGGCGATGCACATATGTGACTGTGGAACATGCCTAACCGCAAGCCACATCTACTGGGGGGATTGCCGTGCTAACAAAAAACAGAATGCGGAGGAGTACAGTCGGGTGGTTGTCATGCTAAATAGAGAAAGGGTAGATGAGAGGTTTTTGCCATGCAATACACCTATTACCGGCATTCCACTTGCTCTGGCTGATGGTAACTAGCTGCCTTTTGCCAGATGCACAGTTATTATCTAGGGGACCAGTTAGGCTTGATGTTTGTGGCTTATGAAAGGTCAGGGTTCGTTAGCAGGAACGTACCTCTTGCCCTTGTTGTGCATTGGGGCTTGGCGCAATAATGGCTTCTTTGGGAGGAATCAGGGTCCGAGCCTGCAGCCATGCGACATGCCGTGGTTTTGAGGTTGCGCTGAAGCTAACAAGATACTGTAACTCATATCTAACTGTTATCATGGCCTTACCTTTTTGGCCTGTTCGTCTTCTTGCATCATTTTAATTAACAACGGAGTATGGTCATTCACGGGCAGGTCGTACACTGCAGGAGGTAGGAATTCCTAAACAGGAGGGGGAGGCCAGGGCAACAGTGAGTCGAAAACACGTACCCTAACCAGAGCATGACATATATGGCAGCATACAGAATACACGGGTACGTTAGTGATATTGAACCTGCCTGTTCCTGTATTTTAACTTCTGGTAGCATGTTGGACTTGCCAAGACTTGTAAGGAAGATATATGCTTGAAACGTCTGGTTGGCACCTGCAAGAAGACGAGGTCTGGTAAGATAATTATTGCTAACGGGAAACCAACCAGCAACTAAGCGTGCATACTATCAGACCTGAGGTTCTTATTGGCAATCTTGTAAGGAGGGTGAGTCCGGGGAATCCTAAGCCTGCCATGAATTCGACAGGTTTAGCTTCATGCTTTTGTACGATAATAAGAGCCTGCGAGGCAAGGAAACATGTTAAATCAGCATGAACCAATGCAACAAAGGGTAATAGCAAGCTGTTCAAATCACCTCGAGCTGAGTAGCGGTCTTCATGTGTTTAGTGACCTTTTCCTTGTCACCAAATCCCTCCCAAAAAGAGAACAGGACTGTTACATCTTCATAATTGACCTGCCAAATACCAAGGAAAACGGCGGCTTTAAACAATCAGGGCACTTTTAGGGCCGGGTTCAAGCCCTGTCTAGCGTGCCCCAACCATGTACACTCACGTCGCTGTTGTCTGGTTTGCAGGAAAAACACTCTGGTGTTTTGTACGCTGTCAGAAGAGAATTAACGTCGGCTTCTAAATGGTTCCAAGGATCTTTCACCTTGTATTTGTCAACATGCGGCTGGAACCTCTCAATAAAATTCTCGGCCTTTCCTCGTTTTACTTTATCCAATTCCCAGCCAATGCTTTTGATTCCGAACAAGAACGCGACTATTACCAGGGTCCTGAAAGAAGGTAAACAAAGTTAAAGCGAGGTACGACAGTTGTAGTACATGTGTGAGCGTCGTACTTCAGTGCACATTTCCCACCTGCCAACACCAGCCCCGATGTCCCCGAAGACGCTGTTCGTGCGTAGGAGGCCAGCTCTGACAAGAACCAGTAGGACTATAGTTAATGTTGCAATTGTCAGTGACCCGTACACGCCTTCCACTCCTTCCCCACCGCAGATTTGGCGCTGCATGGAAAGAAAGATAATTATGCGTGAACCATTTACAACTGCAAGGCTGGAAATTTAACACCGCCTTACCTCAATAACCTCGAGTCTTTTCTGGAGGAAAAAGGTCAGGCGCCCAAGTAGCGTTAAATTCTCGGGCGACTTGCGTTTAGGGGCCATAAATGGCGCAGCCTACATGGCATGGGAAGGCAGGCAATTTAACGGGGTGGCATAGCATTCTGGCGATTAAATTACCGTATTTTACCTGCTAGAGTTCCTGCTGCCGTGGTATCGTCTTGAGGGGGCGGCGGTGTAGCCAAAAGTCCATGGTGGACAAAGTAGCGAGCATGCATAGCATTGAAAAAGTAGGGCGAGGTTAGATATCGTTTTAGGGGCCTGTATTGAAATTAAATCGCAAAAATTGAGCAGCACTTGGTCTTTTCATTCCGTGTGGCGGACACTACCCGCTGGCATCTTGTAAAAGCCCTTGGGCACGGTCCTCCGAGGGAATGTCAAGAGCAAGGTTGGGGAGTCCAGAATCCGCGCATGCAAATGACCCACCTGATGGATTACGGTGGGCGGGCTTGTCACGGCGGCCTTGACTGCTTGATTTTGTAGCCCATAGTCCGAAGCGCACATGCAGGCAATGAAAGGCAGTAAGGCAGAGTTAGAAGCTGTCAAACGGCTATCCGTCTAAGCTGTAAATTGCCTACATGCGGCATCACTCGGTCTCTTCATTCAGTGTGGCAGACACCACCCGCTCACTTCTGCTAGCAGCAGTTGGGCATGGTCTTCCGTAGGAATGTCGAGAGCAAGTATAAAAGGCGTAGAAATGGCGCGCTTAAACTAAGGACACACCTGGAATTGACGGTGCCTTGTGACAACCTTGGCTGCTTGGCACGTAGTCCATTGTCAGAAGCGCACATGCAGAGCATAGGAAGGGAATACGACGAGGTTAGCAATGTCTTTGAGCTGGTTGTGTAAGCAAGACAAACAAGAAAAGATCAGCGCTCGGTCTCTTCATTCCATGTGGCCGACTCAAGCCGCGCACTTCTAGGTCAAGAAGCTACGGCCAGGGTCTTCCGGAGGAATGTTGAGAGCAAGCATATGGAATACACGAGCGTGCTCAAACGGCTCACCTGGATACGTATGATGCGTTGCAGCTCACGGGCTGGTTGGGTACATGTCTTGCTGAGGCTGTTTATGGCTCTCAGAGCCAATCGAGTCCTTCAAGGTTCTGCGCATAAAGAGGATACAAGGGATGGGGAACGGACTCGACTTAATCTACGGGGCAAAACGATCTGGCGGGTGGTTCAAATTTAAGCGAACATGGCAGCGCGCGCACTTCGGTTTCTTACATTCTGCTGCGTTGTTTCACAAGAAATATCCCAAAAGCAACAATGCTGTGGCATTAAAGGACACAGATAGCTTTGTTTGCGTGTAAGGGTGCGAGTGGTGACCAGAATGTCTCCATCCATTTGTCAATGGATACCTCCCCTTGCGCAAATCGTTCACTGTTCGAAGCTAAGAATAATGCTATGCAGAAGTGTTAAAGCAAAGACACATCCGCTTACCTTTCAGGCTTGGATGTGTACCCTTGGCGCGAGCTTCCCTAGTTGAGACCTGCAAGGCACTTAAAACTGCAAGCCCACAGCTTGAACATAAGCCCTTTATGTATATATCATTTAATGTATTAATATGTTGAGAATGCAAGTTGTAGGAGACCTCCTACTAGGATCGTGAGCCCGCTCGTCGTACCAGCTAGTTGGCGCCATTGCACCTATGGCAGCAATTGCAGCCCTGTGCGCATACAGTGTTTGTAACACATAACATATACTAAACCAAACATTCTTCGGCTATAATTGTGGGCTTTTCAGAAATCGCGACGGATAGGTCTGACAACCATTGCCAAACAGTTGGAACTGCGCCCAGCGCTGGGACGTAAAGACATGAAATCTTTGATTTGATATGGTTGCAAAGCTCTAGTTAGCGTATGAAACGTTTGGTCTTCCTAAGCAGGAAGCTCGATATTATGCAAAAGCGGAAACGCACGAAGCAAAAACGTGTACATCTTATGAACCCGTATACGTTAAAGGAGCCCCTAGTTGTGCGCAAGTCTTTGGGTCGGAGCATTCTACCGGTTATGATGAGAAGCTCGCCTCTTCTTGCTGCCTATATCCAAAGCGTAAAAGCCTGTATGCAACTGGTTACTGTTGAATCGACTCTCGTGGGGAGACGGCGTAAATTAAGATGTCTTCTGTCGAGCCGGTAACTTGACATGGAGCTGGCTGGACAGCCCAACGAACACGTAAACCGCGCTAAAACATAGTCACAGGGAAGACTCTAGTTTAGCGAAGCCCATAGTAGTGCTTACGTCTTGCGCGCGAGTCGGGGCATTCCGCCGATTGCCATGAGTAGCCCGACTCTCCTTGCTGCTGTGGGAGCCTAAAGCATTAAAGCGCGCATGCTGCATGTTACAATTAGATTGGCTCTTGCGGGAAAACGGCGGTATATAAGGCTGTCTCGTGTTTTCCGTCAAACCGGTAAAATGACATGGAGCTCGCTGGACAGCCCAACGCACGAGTCAAGTGCTGAAACATGGCAACAGCCAAAGGGATTATGTCAGGGATATTGTGTTGCTGACCCCGTGTACCCAAGCAACTAGTGTCGTTGTAACTCAGCTACAGAATAGGCAGGGTCCGTGGGTCTCTGTTGGCCTTTTGTTACCTCCCTGTTGCATGTATGGCTTTTCCTTTGTGCTGGATTCACCAAAACGATATGTTTCAGGGCCTGTACACCGTCCACCGCCTGGCTAGCTAACGAACAGTACGATGCCACCACTGAAACCCATGGACACATGATAAGATGAAGAAGCTATGGCTATTGAAAGGTGGATATTACCTTATTGGGCCATGGGTAGCCCTCATGTGGCGTGCAGCTAGAGCTGTTGACTACTACTGGAGATGAAACTGCCTGCACTACGTGCATGCACCTGACACAAGGGTACGAGAAGAACTTCTTAGGTAGCCCTACGTACTTTTCCTTGCATGCAATCTCTGCACAGGCACTGCATTGCTTGCTGGCTGGAGAGGTCTGGTGTCTTGCCTTAAGTTAGATGTGCAAAGGTAACTGCTTTATGTCTGAATACGACGTCACTGCCTGGTACAGGTTTCAGCTTGTATTTGTGCATGGGAGAGCCGTGGATGAACGTCACGTATGCACGGATTACTGTTACAAAGGCCTTGTCTTTAGCCACAAACAGATACCCTGGGTAGGGAAGGCCAGGTCTGAGCCCCACAGGACGTGCACTTGCACTCGTCCTTCTAAGCGTTCATAGTACAACGTACAATACCCTTAGTACGACTTGAGTCAGACATCACACAAAACAGAACCCCCTTGCTGAGACATGGTCTTCTATGCCCACACATTAACATAATGATCTAAAGTAACACGAACCCGCATCTTAGGAAACCTCATAACCAGGTGCTAAATGCTTAAATGTACCTACTCCTGCTAGTCGCCTACCCCATACCCCAAACGATTCCCTTCAGTGGCCGCCTTGCCTTCCCTGCCGCTTCGGCCGTCGGTCTGCCTCCTCGTCCCACTCCTCCTCCCCCTCCTCCTCGGGATCGGACTCTTCGGATTCATCCTCCTCCTCCCACCCGCCCTCCTCTGGTGTTTCCTGCCCCAAGTCCTCCCATTCACCTTCTACCGCTCTCTGCCTCCTGGCATAGCTCCGGCGGCCGCCCCTCGTACCGTAGCCACCCCCTCGACCCTCCTCGTCCTCCTCACCCCCCTCATCGTCGCCCATGCCCCTCAACGGGCCCTGGCCATCCTCTGCATCCGCAAACTCGCCGTCACCACCCTCATGATATGCATTGTATGCGCCGTACCCCCCGTGCATGCTACCATCCATGTTTGCATCACCCTGGCCGCTTGCTGCTCCAAGCTCTTGCTGCCTCCTAGCACCAGCGTCCAAGCCACCATCGCCTCCCGCCAGATCACCAAAGCCTCCTTCCAAGCTGCTGCCTCCTGCTGCCGATTGGGGGTTGGGTCCCATCCCACTTGCCGTACTGCTAGGCTGCCCATGAAAGCCGTCCGCTCCTTGTGGCCTCCTTGCGGCTTGGGCTGCATCTGCCTCAGCACTGCTGCCCATGAACAACCTGCGAAGCCGGCCGAGCAGAGGGCGAGGGGCTGGTGCATGCGAGGGCCGACCCCTAGGTTCTGCCAGCTGCTGCTGGAACCTCTCGCCAATAGCCGCTGCTACGTCCTGCGGCTGCTGCTCCCCACCTTGCACCGCCGCTGCTGCCTCCCCCGGCTCCTGCCCCCGGCCCTCCGCCGCCGCTGCTGCCTCCCCCGGCTCCTGCTCCTGGCCCTCCGCCACTACTGCTGCCTCCCCCAGCTCCTGCTCCTGGCCCTCCGCCGCTGCTGCTGCCTCCCCCGGCTGTGGCACCTGGCCTTGAGGTGCATCGGTCCCCTGCAGCTGCTGCTCTTGGCCTTCTGGTGCACCTGCTGCTGCCTCAGGAGGAGTCTTGCCCGCTGCCACCTCATGCCCCTGCGGTTGCGCCTCGCCTGCCGCTGCTGCTGCGTCCCTGGGCCGCTCTTCCTCGCCGCTGCCCCCGCTGCCCTGCCGCCGAAGCTTCTGCTCACATATCAGCCTCCAGTCCTCGAGACGATCCACCGTCGCCTGCATCATCGCGGAGTCATGGTCCTTGATGTAGTTTGAGTCCCACGCAGCTTGGGAGTTGCCCATGATCTGAGCGTCACCATCCAGGTGGGTCCTCCCGGCAGCAACCTCCCGAATCACTGCATTGAACTCGCTGTTGGCGTGAATGTGGCGGAAAAGGCGTGCTGTGAATGGCTGCCATGGCGCACTGTGCTGCTGCTGGATGCGGTTCCACAAGGCTGCTACTGTGGTGCCGCCCGAAATGCCAAGAGCCTTCCCTCGCCCGGTAAGGAAGAGGAAGGGAACTGGCGCGGTCTCCTCCCCCTCCTCATCCGTGTCGTCGTCGCCAGCAAGTATCGGCCGGATGTTGTTGATGTAAGACAGCGCACGTTCCGCCAGGACCTTGGGCAGCTTGAAGGTGATGGGCTTCTTGCGGAACCGCTCCGTCTTGTGATGGAATAGCTCCACCTTCATGCCGCCAGTGGGTTCTCCCGAGCGTGTTGTCAAGGCACGCAGGGTATTCCCCCGGCAGTTAGCCCTGGAGCAGCACGCATGCGTGCACACATCGCGGCCAGGCACCTTGAGCGTCGCAATGCAGGCCAGGCGCAGCGGGGGGACATAGAGCCCGCACAGGAACTCAGCCAGCAGAGCGTCCCTCTGAAGGAGAGCTGTCTCGAAGCTGATGTCACCCGCCACCATGTCTGCGGAAAGGGCGTCGTCTGCCTTCTGACGCAGCTCCATCACGAACCGCAGGAGCAGCACCTTGTCAGGCAGACCCGTGGGTCCGTCCTCGTCCTCCTCGTCGGAGTCCACATCAGATGGCGGCGGGGCAGGCGTAGGGTAGCTTCGGCGGAAGCTGTCGGATATCCTCTTGAGCCACTCCACCATGTCCATGAGCTTCTCCCTCTGTGCAGTGAAAGGGAATACCGGGGAGAATGCTAAGGCTAATAGGAGATTGAAAGATACATTATTAAACAAGGTAAACACTGCATGCATCATATCTCCCCACCGACCATGCGTTACACAAGCAATAGTATATATGGTAGGGAAGATGTAAAAAGCAAATGTTCTTGCGTCATGCAGGCATGGATGGGGATGGGTCTAGAATAAGCACCACAGCATCTCCCATACTACTGACCTCTTTGTCCGTCAATGTAGGATCGTAGCTCTCCAGGTATACGACCAGCCGCTTCAAGCGGCAGACCTCAGTCCCCAAATGAGCAGCAGCACACCGCATCATCATAAAGTCGAGGTAGCGGATGACCAACGTCTACAGGCGCAAAGGGGTATAAGCGATGCTGAGCAGGATGGATGTGGCATGGCGCTTTCGTACAGATACAGCCTTGCATGTGCAGGCAAGTACAGGCAAGACCCGACTCACTCTTCCTCACGTACTCCCATCCCATGACACCCCCATGAATTGCAGACCGAAACCCAAACTACAATCATAGGACTAAGGAGGCTTACCGGGTTGCCTGCCAAGCGCAGGGAGATGAACTTGGGGGGTACACACTCCACGAATCTGCAGAAGCCCAAGAACTTGGACACCGTGTTCAGGATTCCATTCCAGGTCTCCTTCTTGGCCTGAGTGAATTCCGCGACGGTGAAGTCGAAGGCCTCGGTACACCACCACTCGTAGTGGTTGAGCTCCTTGCCGACTGGCATCTGCGCCGGTATCTTCTTGAGGATAGCCAGAAGCCCAAACTTCTTCTTCTTCACCACGTGAGAAGGCCAGCAAAGAAGGGGCACGTTTGATGGAAGCTTGGCTTTACGCCCACCGCTGCCAGCGCCCTCATCCTCGCTTTCAACCTCATCCCCGCCCTCACCCACACTGCGGACCCTGCCGAACTGATACCACTTGGTGTCGCCCGGTACCCGATCACAAGGGAAGGGTATAGGCGGCGGGCCCGGGTCCTTACCCCGCTGCTGGGCAGGTCTCTGCCGCCGACCACGAACCCAGGCGGCTTGTTGCACGGCGTTTGGAGGTGGCCGAGGACCAGCCATTTGCCCGGGAGGTGGTGGTTGCTGCTGCTGCCGTTGCTGTTGAGGCGGGAGCGGTGGCTGGCGCTGCGGTGGGGGAGGTGGGGGTGCCGGCTGCCGTTGGTTTTGTACCGGCTGGGGGTGTGGTCGCAGCTGCGGCGGCGGCGTGGGCTGCTGCTGCTGACGTTGTGGTGGAGGTGGAGGGGATCGAGGCGGCCGCTGCCAATGGTCCTGTAGCGGTTCTTCCTGGGTTTGCAGAGGCGGCTGGGGCTGCTGGCGCTGCTGCTGCGGTAGGGGAGGTGGAGGTGCCTGCTGCTGCCGCTGCTGATGGTTTTGTACCGGCTGGGGGTGTGGTCGCAGCTGCGGCGGCGGCGTGGGCTGCTGCTGCTGACGTTGTGGTGGAGGTGGAGGGGATAGAGGCTGCCGCTGGGGCTGCTGGCGCTGCGCTGGTTGTGGCAATTGCTGCCGTTGATACCGTTGCCGTGGTGCTGGTGGCGGGGTGCCGTACCCATCCTCCTGATCGCTGTCAACATCCATGGCAGCCAGAGACAGCTGGTGAGATGATGGGCTGTCCCAAGCAGTGCGAAACAAAGCAGGGCGGCTGTAGAGGCCTGGAGGTTCCGCTGCTGTAACATGGCGCTGCTGTCGAGCCTCATTTGCCGGAGCCATCCGACCACGCTCCTGCATAGATAACGAATGACAGCAAAGCGTGTAGGGCACCCACGGTTAGCAACCAAGGATAGGGATGCGAAGGTAAAGGCGACAGCGGCAATGCCTCGCCCATATTTTAACATAACCTACAGCTTTCTTTAAAAGCTTTCAATGCAAGACTGATTACAAGCATGCGCGCGTGCTGGCAGAGGATCCCTGGCAAGAAAGATAGCAATCCTCCCACATGGGAGCCCTCGGCTTACCGTCGTCCGTCGTTTTGGTTGATAGCTCAGCTCCTCCTCCTCCTCCTCCTCATCGTCTTCGTAGATAGCAATCGGCCGCCTACCATTCTTCTTGGCCTTTTTACTGATGGCTTTTCGCCTCCATACGTCCTCCGTCCTTCGCTTCATTGATCCCTTGTGACCCTGCACAGCATTAATGATTTAGGTTAGTTGTCACTACGATTGTATGTCCCTGGTGCGAAACACCCCTTGAAGCTTTGGCCACCACAAAATACATATTCTCCCCACAAGACGCTTCTATGAAAGCATCTTACCCAATGCAACTAACGCATATCTGATCATGCTATCCTAAGCCATATTTGAGATGTAAGTGTTTCTGTTGGAAATGTCGGCACATCAGGCAACGCGTCTTATGTTTTTTATCATCCCTCGCATATTATATGTTGACGTGTGTTGTGTGTCTTGGCAAATAATAAAGCGCCTGCTACCGTCGAGCCAAGGGCAGGTTACCGTCCGGAACCGGTATGCAGTACACGGTTGCAAAGCACCTGTTAGATGCATACCAAACCTAGACACATGCCGCCCAGCACTTATGCTGACGAACATGCATACTGCAGCCATCGCAAACGTGCATTTCTGCGTGTGGTATCCTGTGGTTCGGTCTGCAAGCATGGGGTTTGTTCGACTTTGGCGGAGTGGCCTGTGGTTGACGTTTGGTTTCTTGGTTCACAACGGTATCACTGGGGTGGGCTCTCATAGAGGGAGGGTTCGGATTGGGTTTGCTTGGGTACGTGTCGGCGTGGTTCTGTGGGGTTGGATTGGGTTTGGTACGGTTGCAACGGCTGAAGTACATTAGAGTTAGTTTTGGTGCTGGGTGGTTGACGTTTTGGTTATATTGGATTTGGTTGGGTTTGGTGGGCTGGTAAAGGTTGCGGTTTGCTTTGCTTGCCTACGGTTGGGTGTGGTTCTGCACGGTTCTGCACGGTTCACTGTGGTTACATGGGGTAAAGTACGGTTGAGCTGGGTGCGGTTGCATGGGGGTTCCATACGGTTTAGTGTGCTTTGGTCAGGCTGGGTGCGGTGGGGTTGCTGAGGTTCGCCACGGTTTTGACAGGGTTCGGTGCGGTTCCGGCCCAAGGGTCGGCGGATTACCCTTGGGATCTTTTCGCCTGACGCCCTATTTGACCCAAGAGGGCCCGGGCAATATGCCTCCTGTCGTACATTTGTGTTCTAGTTGGACAGCCTGTGTGTTGCACGTGCAGTTGATGGACTATGCCTGCTTTTTCCCCTTCCCAGCTAGGGCAACATCACATGTGGGTGTTTGCTGTGTCTTTTAGCCTACTGTGCCCGTAATTGCTGTGTTCCATTCCCTTATGGTGCACATGCAGCTGGCGACAGGCCTCACAACTGTCTTTGGGTGAAGTACACATTGTTTGATGAGGATGTTCGTTGGAGAGGCCCCATGCTCACTCCCCCCACACATCCACTCCCAGGAGCACCATGCGACGACTGTGATTGATATTATCCTATGACCCATGCCTAATATGCACAGCCCACGTCAGGCAAGGCGCTGAATCCCGGATTGGCCGCGTGGGAGGTGTGATTTGTTGGGAGTGGTCACCCTTGAGCAGGGTGACGAGCTCATGACCAGCCGCGCTTAGCCCTGAAATTGCACTAAAGCGCACACATACTCGCTCAAACAAGCATACCAGTAACAGGTTCCTTACGGGTTTTGGAGGAAGCGGGCAGAATAAGCTGCCTCATGCCCCGTTGCCGTACATCAGCAGCGGCATAGCAGAGGCTCGCATTGTGCCTGCGCACGCTTACTTCACTACTGTTACAACACACTGATGTATAAATAGGTAAAATACTTCACGTCCTGTTTTTATGGACAGAGTTCGACGCAAACGATCTGGAGGCGGTGCTGGGCCGGAGAAAGCACTCGGACTTTTTGGCCGTCGTCTTGGAGCAGCGTCGGCTTTTCTCATCCGTTTAGGAGCACCTAGCAAATCAGGTGCGTTGGGAGGGCCGGAGCGCTTGCTATGAGTGCGATCTCCTGCTGCTCGTGTCTGGGCCGAGCTCTCGTTAGAGGCCGTAATGAGGTGCACGCGGGCTTGGCACATACAACATCGTGTTCCTTGATATGAGTGTGTGATTTGCGGTGCAGCTAGCTTCTTTCATCTGAGCCTCGCATCGCATTTTCCAGTGTCCGCGTAGCAACCATAACTTACACCAGCGTCTGCTGTTCCTCTCTGTTTAGGTTACAAGCGCTTGGCAGGCTGCTGGTGAAGGAAGGGCGTGCCAGTGGAGCGGCGCGGTTGGTTGGATGGAGGTGAGAAAGGCGGTTGCCAGCAGCCCAGCTTTTGCATACGGGGGCTGATGCTGTCTGGGACTCTCTATTTCCAAACCCCTTTCTGTTGCTCTACACTGCTGTTAGCACCACGTTAGCACCCCTGCGTCCTCACCCTCTTGCGCGCTCTTCTCCTCTCGCCGCCCTGCTTACCCTGCGCCCTGCTGCTGCCCCGACTACTTCTCTCCCCCCCCGCTTGCTAACATGTTCTCCTTCCTCTCGCATGCTCCTCTTTCTCCTGCTGCTCCGTCCTTTTCAGAGCCCTCCCCGCCGCTGAACAGCTCTGCAACGCACCGCCCAGCCATGCGTTCTTTCATGGGACTGGCTCCTCCTCCCTCTCGGTCCCTGTCTCTGTTACCTCGCCCCAATCAGCCCTTCACTGCTACTCCCTGGCCTGCACGTCACTGGCCAGCGTTCACCCCGCCGCGCGCCATTGGTTAAGCTCCTATAGCAGGACATGTGAGTTGGGTCATTGTAGGGCGGGCGGATTTGTGCAGGGAAGGGGGTTGTGTAGTGGATTGGTGCATGGCAAGACGGGGGAAACTTGGGGGCGCCTGCAACACCTGCAACACAGTTGAGACCCGTGGGTCGCCATGGTGTTGGGCAGTATCCATGTGTACCTCCTCCGACCGCCTGTCATACTCGGTCGTGCGTGTTCCCTTACTCATTCCCTCCCGCTCCTGTCTCCCTCCCGCCCCCCCTTCATGCAGCCCTCTCTCACTGTGGACTCACGGAGCCCCAGCAGCAGCAGTGGCAGGAGCAGCAGAACCCCATGAATGACCTTAGCGGGTGCAGGGAAGGGGGTCCCTCCTCCCCCTCCCTCCCGCCTGGCGTGCCGTTACCTTCACCAACTTGCCCGCCGTCGCCAGCACCGCCCAGCCTGACATCGACCTCGCCTGCAGCGCCCAGCCCTCTCCCTCCCTCGCCCTCACCGCCCAGCCCTCGCCTACACCGCCATCTCCTGCACTTCAACCGCCTGGCGTTCCGCCTCCATCCCTCACCTTCTCTTCCCAGCCTTGCACCACCACCACCTCCTGCGCCGCTTCCTGCATGGCGTGCTGCCACCTTCGCTGGAGCCGCCCAGCCTTGCACCACCACCACCTCCTGCGCCGCTTCCTGCATGGCGTGCTGCCACCTTCGCTGGAGCCGCCCAGCCGCTCATCCGCCGTAGCTTATATAGCAGCAGATGTGAGTTGGGTCAAAGTATGACGGGCAGAGGTCCAGGGAAGGGGGTCGTGTAGAGGAGGGAACTTGGGGGGCACCGGGCGGTCCTGCTAACACCTGCAACACAGGGCACAGCGGCTGTTGGATGGCCTGGGCTGTACAGCAACGCCTGCCCCTTGCCTGTCGTCGTACTCCTTTGCATGCCTTCTTATCCGCCTCCTCTCCCCCTCCCGCCTCCCTCCCGCCCCTCCCCTCCGCCCCACAGTCGTCTCTACACAGGACAGTGCTGAGCCTTTGCTGTTCCGCTGCTGCAACCGCCCAGCCCCCACCGGCGCTGCCCAGCCCGCCTCCCCCCTAACCAGCATCAGCCAGGCTGCTGCCACCCTCACCGCCCCCAAGCCCTGGCACCTCCGCCCCTCTGGGCACCCTCTGGGCACCCTCTGGGCCCGCTCTGCCCAGCTCGCTGCCGCCCTCACCCGCACTGCCCAGCCCTCACGGCCGGCCTTCCCGCCACACAGCCAGCTTCCTCCCTCGCCTGTTCAGCCCAGCCCCACTTTGCCTTCGCCGCTGTTCAGCTTGTTGCCGCCTTTACCAGCACGTCACCGCCATATCCCCAGCCCCCAGTCAGCATCCGCCGTAGCTCACCTGCAGGCCGGAGCCCCTGACTGGTCTGCATCGTCCATCACCTTTTGAGGAGTTCCACGTGTGGCCCGTCGCCTACAAAACAGGTGAGTGACCCATGGGTCATCAGCACGCTCAGGGCAAGGGGTTAGGGCGCCGTTAATGCACGGTGTTATGGGTGGTCTCCCTCTTGTCTCCTCCTTTTCTTCTATGAAACACACACCCATACAACGCTCAGACTCAAACCGGTTCCCCTCCCTCCCTTCCTTTCCTGCCCAACAGTGCCTGGCGGCCACCGAAATCACCTTCATCCTGAAACCGCCCCACAGTCGTCTCTACACAGGACAGTGCTGAGCCTCTGCTGGTCCGCTGTTGCAACCGCGCAGCCCCCACCGGCGCCGCCCAGCCTGCCTCCCCCCTAACCAGCGTCAGCCAGGCTGCTGCCGCCCTCACCGCCCCCAAGCCCTGGCACCTCCGCCCCTCTGGGCCCGCT